AAAAAACAAACCGCAACACACAGTTGTTGTCAAGTTGATTCTGACTCATGGCTCCACTGAGTTTTGAACATCCACATTTTTGGCAGGAGATCACCAGGCATTTCTTCTGAGGTATCTCTGGATGGACTCCAGTCTCTAACCTTTTTGGTCAGCAGTCAAGCACATTAACAATGTGTTCTACCCACAGGTTCCCACACTGCTCATTAGCCCCCCACAAAAGCCCTATATGGTGTGCACTGCACCTCTTTATGAACTACAAGTATCCCTTAGACACAACTTGGAAGCAAACCAGCTAGTAGTTAAGAGTCAGTTGTATGGCAACTGGTTTGCAGACTAGGACATCAAGACTTCAAATGGTTACATAATTGGCTCAAGCCCACAAAAGAGCAAAGAAGAAATTCAAATTCAGCCTGTCTGATTCCCAAGCCCCAAATACTCCTCAGAATAGACATTTCAGAGAAGAAGGCCAGAGGACTCACGGGGTCCGGCAGGAGGCAGCACTGGGAGGCCCCCCAGGCTGACCCTGGGCCCAAGAACAGCAAGAGGGGAAGCAAGCCTGGGGCTTTCTCCACTCAAAGGGCCAGGAGGCCCTGCTAACTTTGCACTTCTTTTAATCAGCCACAGAAAGCCAAGCTGCTTAAAATAATAATGATTAGAAAAGAAAACCACCCCTGTGGCTGGCCATTCCCAGGCTCCAAAGTTCGCCCAGGGTCTCGGAGTACAGTGAGTTCAAGAGGGAAGCCGCAGGCTGCCAGCCTCTCTGGCTAAGTTCCAAGTAATGCATCTCCTCCCAAAAGAACTCAATTCTGCTAAATACACTTCAAGAAAGTCAAGAAGATGCCCTTCGGTTGCCATGGCAATGCTAAACAGACAAAACATTTGAACCAGCTCTGACGCAGTCATGCAAACTTATTTAAGGGACAAGTGGATGGATTTGGTGGAGCGAGAGAGTGGGGGTGAGGAGTGTTGTTCCGAAAGTTCCATCTCCAAGAATTTTGTCCCAAAGGCTTATAGGTCAGATTGGAACAGGGCAGGGCTGTTTCACAGAAACAAGCTGAAGTCAGGCTCATTCCAGGAAAGGGACACGCTGCTGAGCCCGTCTATTCTTTGCTCACAGTCCCATCTTAGAAAGGCCAAGAGCTGGGTGGGCCAGTACTGCAGACGGAGAAGGCTGGTGCTCCAGTCAGCACTCTACACTTCTCTGGGGAAAGCACGCCACTGCCCAGCATCTGAGGGCACGCTGGTGCCTACAGGGAAAGGAGTTGTGCTGTCAGCCCAAAGGCAAACGGTTCAAACATACCAACCGCTCTTCAGGAGAAGAAAGGGCAATCTCCTCTAACAAGATGCCATTTTCACGGCCCAGATCTCATGGTGGACTTCCCATGATGAATGTTGGTAATTTCTTTACAAAAGTTTGCTCCCAAGCCTACGGTCCTGGCTTTCAAAGAGGAGGTTCTTAGCGAGGAAGAATACAGAAAAGGTGTTCCAGGTCTGAAGAGCTTCCCTCCTCAGAGGCAATGAGGTTTGCCACTCTCTGGGCTTCTCACGACCCCCAGACACAACAGGGGCAAAATATGACACTGCTCAGAGAGGCCTGAAGAACCTAACCAGGCCCAGCTCACAGTACTCAGTCGAAAATGCTTGCAACACCTTCTTCTGCAGGGTCCATAGCATCCCTGGGTAAACAGCTTCTCCACTAATGAGTTTAAAACCTGTCTGGGCTTAGAATGCTTTCTCACTGATTGTTCCAACTCAGTAAATCTTGCATTTTAAGACTTGTCCCTCCTAAGTTACTCTTAAGCCCCAAGCCCCCACAGTACACCCTGCCAAGATTGCTCTGATTGTTCTGTGATGTCTTGCCCATTTATTTCTTGGTCAAGAATTACTAATGTCCAGTGCCTGGCACTAGTAAACACTGCATAGATGTTTGCTGACTCATAACTGAAAGCATGCAACGCCATAACCAAAACATTTATGCTCCACTGCCCCTGGAACACTTTGGTCCATTTTCCACCAGGGTCTACATCTGCGTCTTCATTTTCCCAAGGTCTGGGAAGAAAGCAGGACTTGCAGCAGAGTCCAAAATGCAGAAAGTGGAGAATACAGCTCCGCCTCAGGGGAAGGAGGGTGGTGAGGGGTGAGAGAGAGCTGTGCGCATGCTCCCTCCCCAGGGGGACTCCCACAAAGCTACCCTTCTACCTGCCCATTAGCTGGTGAAATGGATTTACTGCCTGAAAACAATAATAGCATCTCTCCTGCTCTTGCCCTGAAACAAAATTACTTGTCTTTGGTTCCTTATTAAAGATCTCTGAAGATCTTTTTTTCAAAACTTGCTATATCCATTTTGTTAAGGACTAGGTGCACTAACTCGTTCCATGCTGATTATTTTCAGGTGAGTCACAGTTCACCCAGGAAGGCAGAGTTCCCAGGTCTCATGGGGGCATCTTCTTCTACTGATTCCTCATACACTTTCCCAATAGCCTCTTTCAATACATTGTATTTAGCAAACAACAATATTTATCATTTAAAAAACAACAACAAACCAACTTCAAACCCACTGCCATCAAGCCAAAACCAACTCATTGCTGGCCTTCCACCAGGTGCTAGAGACAATGAATCGTACAGGAAGAGATCACCCATCTTTCTCCCACGATAGATTTGAACCATACACCTTTGGGTTGGCAGCGCAACTCCCCACTAGGCCTCCAGAAAAGCCTAGTCAATGGGCTCCCTCAATAAAGTCTTACTGGGAAATGAACTTTCTGGAAATTTAGAAACGATGCTTCATCACTACAATATATTCCCCAAATTACCTTTCCCCCAGTAGAAATGTTCTAACTCTGCACGTAGTCATACGCACACTGACAAGTCTGTGGCAAAAACTAGAACAAGGTCCATACGTGTCTATAAGAAGGCTTCCTATGTGATCACAGTGAACACTGCCTTAGACTTGTCACTGTTCTGTGACTTAGGAAAAAGGACAACGGTTTGGTTGTCCTTACCGTTACCTCTCTCATTTCCTCAGGAACACAATGGCTGTGGTGGAGGTTCTCATACCATGCTGGACTTGCATCCTGCATGTTACACTCCTCTCAGCTAAATGTACCACATTACCATGTCTGCCTCCCCACCCCTAAGCTGGAACTAATTATCACAATTACAGGACTTTTATATTTCTGTGTTTTAGAAAATACAGTTGGTGAACAAACAATACTCCCCCAGCTGAAAGTGTTATGGAGCAACCACAAAATTGCATTTATATTATAATAGTATTTATAAATAATTTATTTGCAGATAGAATTAAACTTGCACAGAATAAGCCAAGGTGGTGATACTATTTTGTAAGCTTTAAAACAGACTATTTTTCCACCTCCATATTTTTATTGGTATGCATATAATTATTCAGATACATTATGTTTCAATCATGTACACGTGTATGTTTCATACTTTCTTCATTGACATGTTTCATATAATCATTCCCATATCAAAACAGACTTTCAAGAATAAACAACACCTGCACCAGAGGCTGCAGAAAAAGACAAATACACCAAAGTGGATAGTGTTCAATAACTTCAAATATCAGTTTTGAACACATGTATTATAATGACCCAGGACAAAGGCATCTATGCATGTGTACCCCAGAGGGAAAAAACTACAGCTCTTTTATGTGAAGATGTGACTGCATGCGTGAAATGCCTGCACTAAAATTAAGTCTCCCTTCATCCAAATTTTCTCAATTATTAATACACTAGACAGCTGCAGTAGCTCTAGTAAAAATAGCAGCCAAGTCCTTCTAAAAGTCAACGCAGACGCAGAGATCTGCCCAGGGACTTTCCTATGTAAGGAGTGGCTGGTCTCTGTATTGATATGAAACAAAACGTCCTGTGGAACAAATCAACGGCAACGAGAACCTTGCTCCAGAATGTAAACTAGAAAACTACAGCGCTCCGCCCTCAGCACTGCCTTTCCACCTTTTTATTTAAAAATGGGTTTGTGCCTGAAAAAAGGTTACAAAAAAGACTGCCTATCTTCCCAATTCACTGGGCTACACAACTCAGAAAATTAAACCATAAATCCAAGGAAAGTCAATCACTTTGTATTCTGAAAAGAGAGGTAACAATCTCTGCGTACCCAAGGAGGGCTAGTGGGACAATCTATGTATGTGTGTGGATATTTCTAGAAGCAAATTAATATCCAGCAAGAAAGGGAGTCCTTCCTTTCTTAGACAACATATTGACATCATCCTAAGAAGACTCTGATAATACACCTTTCTGTATTACTCATGTTGGGAAGTATTCTGAAATGAAAAATTAAGTTCTGAGAGGGTTACAATTCAGTGTTAACTCAATAATGATCAAGAGTTTTTATTTAAAGATTCTGAGCAGGAAATGTAATGAGAAAAGGACAGATTAGAATGATCCCATTTATCATTTTTTTCTTTAAAGAGGTTTACTATCATTGTTTAAATGTATCCCATCGCTGGAATACCACTTTTCAAGGTTTTGTTGAGAACCGTCTAGATTTGATGGGCTATTTGATGTTTCCTGTCATGAGTTACATCTTTCAAATCTTTACAGGCAATCGGCTTAAAGACAAATAAAGACAATCAGACCCCAAAACCCAATTTCTGATGAGTAAAACACCATCCCCTCAATCGTGTCTCAGTGCCACATACAATTAGAGGGATCATTATGCATCTTGGTGAAGGCAGGAGTCATCCGAGTCCTGGTCCTAAACAAGTGTATGTCTGTAGAACCTCTGAGATCAAGAAGAGTATTTCATTTTTTTCTGTCTCACAGCAATATAAAGATCACAGCCATTTTTCACTAAACACCAGAAAACATCAAGGAAGAAGGCTATGGCTACTCGGAAAGTACTGTGAGTTTATTAATATGATCCCCTGGAGAAAAGCTCTTAGTGTGAATGTTTTCAAAACAGTCAGCGTCCCTTCAAGGCACAGCTTCCCCACAGAACACAAACACTCCCCGTGTACCACTTACCATTTGTGATCTGTTCTTTGGACAGCCATTGATGTCTTCAATCTTCTCATTTGCTGAAAAGCAAACACAAGCCAGAAAAATAAATAATCACCAGCAAGACACTTGGGAGGGTGATGCTGAGGACACACGATGCCACCCAAGTCCTAAGGTCCATACTGGGCTTTGTCCAATCAACACAGGCATGTGAAATACTGAGACACATCTAGCAAGCTTGGGGACTTACTCATCATGCTGCTGTCCTCCGGGGACAGCTGGGGTAAGGTCGTCATCATCTAAAACAGAGACAACTGCATTGACAGCAGTCTTGGAGTGGTGAGACACTGTGTAAAGACTGGGAAACAGAGGGAGGGGTGTGTGTGTGCTTTAGGCGCATACGAAAGAAAATCCAATTGCAGCGACTCTTCAAGGGATGTAATAGGCTGCAGTGGATGCGTCCAGCAAGAATCCAGGTCCTGGGGGCAAAAGTCACAAATGCTGGCATTTCACACCATCTTTCCCCAGAAATAACAGTATTACTCTTGTGTGTCCTAATACTATTCCTTAATGCGGTAATAAATGCAGAAAATGAGATAGTAAGCCTTAAAAAATGGCTTGTCCAAGGCCAAATCAGATCTAAAACACATGGATTTGAAGTCACAATTGGCCCACAGCAACATAAGGAAAAGGAGGTTACAGTGAATTAACTGGAAATCAAAGGTCAAGAGCATGGAGACAGGCCCAGCATCCCATGGTGAATGTATTCTATCCAGAGAATGGTGGAATCACTTCCCAAAACAGCACAAGGTACCTAGAGAGAGACTGGGTTTGAGAATGCAGGGGCATAAGAAATGCAGCGTGTACGGTGATGAGAGCACTAGCTTTGGTGCCAGGCACGCAGTATGAATGCCAGCCCGACAGTGTTTTGACTGTGGGATGCTGAACACGTCACACTACATCTCTGAGCTGTAGTTTCTTAATCTATAAAACGGAGCGAACACTGCCTACTTCCAGGGTGCTCCTTGGAAACAAGGATGGTGCACCTGCACCTCACACACATTGGGCATGTTGTCAGGAGAGGTCCTTCCTTGGAGAAAAACACCATGCTTGGAAAGATAGAAGTTCACCTCAAGAAAGGAAGAGAGAGATTGGCATAGTGACTGGGGCAGTGAGATCAGATGTGCTGGGGATGGTAAGGCTGGCTCTAGATAGGGCAAAGTTCACAGCCATCGTTCATTAGGTCACTATGAGCTGTAGTCGATCTGAAGGCACCTAATAACAGCTTCCTAAGAGAGTCTTCCTAAGAATTGGGCAATACACCAGGGAAAGATTTAGCAGGTTGTTAAGTATTCTATGAATAGTTAACACATTACAGAGGGGAGCTATGATGGCCTAGTGGATAAGGAATTGGGCTGCAAACCCAAAGGCAGGTGGTTCAACCCAGCAGCTTCTTCAGGAAAGGAAGATGGGCAGTCACTGTCCATGCAACTGGCAGCCTCTCAATACCTGCTGGGAGGTCAGCATGAGTCAGTTCTGTTTGGAAGACAATGAGAGAGTTGGACGAAAGTCAACTCTACGTATGTGATGGTAGAGCTGGGCTCCACAGAGGTTTTCCATGACTGCCTCACATGTAGGTAGGTCACTAAGCCTTCTTTCAAAGTCTTTAGGTCGATTTGCAACCTTTTTTAGTTGCAACTCTGTACCAATCAGTAAATCCCTATAAATGGCAGCAATCATGAATCCTATGATGTAGAGTCTTAACATTTATATAAAAGACTTTTTTTCCCCTTCTGCTATCAAGAAAACAAAAATTCTCACCACTAGGCTGATTGGCAGTATTATGATAGATGAAGAGATTGAGATTGTTAACAGCTTTAGTTTGCTTTGCTCTACAATCAACACTCTTGTGGTACCAGCAGCCAGGAAATCAAAAGACAAATTGCATTGGGAAAGACTGTTATATCAGGGACATCTCCAGAGTACTGAAGAGCAATGATGTCTGTCTGAAGACTAAGGTGCATCTGATCCAAGCCACAGTCTTCACAACTACTTGGTATGTGTCAGAAATCTGGATAATAACTAGGGATGACAGAAAGAGAATTGATGCCTTTGAGCTATGATGCTGGAGAAGAGTTCTGAATATAGCACAGAATACCAGGAGAACTAACAGATTTATCCTAGAGAGGGTGAAACCAGGCTGCTCCTTGGAGGTAAGGATTCTGAAGCTTCATCTGACATACTCTGGGCATGCTTCAAAGAAGGATCAGTCCTTGGTGAGGGACATCATGCTTAGAAGGGTGGAGGGACAGCACAAGAGAGGAAGAACCTAGGTGAGATGGATTAATTCAGTAAAGGCAGGTGTGTCAGAGACAATAAGGTTGGCACAGGATAGAGCAGGTTTCAGGGTTATTGTACATAAGCTTGCTGTGAGTCACAAGCACCTCAACGGCACATAACAACAACAACAACATCTTCATATCCCTTAATTTTTTATCCACATTGAGGTCAGAAACTAAGCTAGGTAGGATCCTACAGTAAAGCTGTAAGGGTTTATCCCCTCTCTGATGTATTAATACGCCTTCTCTCCAAACCACAGAAGGGTAAGATGGCAGGATTCCATATCAACCTCTATTTTGCCTTCAATTATCTAATATCTAAATCTTTTCCTTTCTTGTCTTTCTCCACTACAGTTTGAGAGACTGCTGACAATTATTTGTCACTCTTGAATCCCTCAGTCGCTCACTCACAGGCATCAAGTCAATTCTGACTCCGAGTCACTCTCCAAGGGGCTGCCAAGGCCGTAAATCCTAACAGGAGAGGACTCATCCCTGGGAGCTGCTGGCGAATGCCAACCAGGGGGCTCGACATGTGCTTGCGAACTTGAGTTGAAAAACCACAACATATCAGGGAGCTCTGGTGGCCTAGTGGCAAGAAGCTGCAGTGCAATCCCAGAGGTACGTGGTTCTTATCCCCCAGATGCTCTTCTGGAGAAGGAAAGACAATCTCCTCCTGTACCAGTCAGATCTGATTTGATGGTACACACACAAAAAAAATAATAAAATTTTAAAAAACCTATTTTCATTAATTTCATGCTTAAAACTTGCACAACGGGGAAACACACTAAAAACTCTTATTAGTGAAGGACAGGTGAAAGATCTGGTGTAAAAACAATGTATATGAACTTAGTAATTAGTAAGTAAACCAGTATAAAAAAAATTTAAAAAAATGTCTCAACATGCTAAAATTTCTGATTACTCAGATCCTAAATCTAGCTCACCACTAAATCAATTGGATTTCCTTCCACCCTCGAGAGATAAGTGAAAAATAAAGTAAGTGAGGATAGGGCTGGTTTCAGAGCTAGTATACAGAAGGTCGCTATGAGTCACAGGTGACTCGATGACATAACTACATCAACAGTGGCAGGAAATTATTTAGAAACTCAATCACCTTTGGGAAACCCAATGATAAGTGTCCACTCAGTGCAGTCTATAATCTCTTTAGGATGTGCCCAAAGGGCTGTGTTTAGCCCACATGTGAAGATGTCAGTCTTCAAAAATCCTACTGAGTGTCCTCAACGCTAAGACAAGAGCACTGGGATAGGCATTTTAGAAAGCTGCTTTCCTCAGCCTCCTCTACTCAAACAAAGCACCTTGTCTTTTATTAGCTGCCAACGAACTGACCCCCAAAACAAGGTGACTCCATGTGCAATAGCATGAGAGTGTTGGGATTTATAAGTCATCAATCAAATTTTCTGAAGAATGCCAGACCTTTCTTCATTGTCCTTCTTAGTCTGGAAGCTCGGCAGAAACCTGTTCATTGTTGGAGCAACAGACAACCCTTCAAAGCTACGCAGGTAACGGCTGCAGCTGAGGTGTTCTGACTGGCCCTGAAGTCAGCTCTTCATCCAGAATGCAAGAAGTCTTACCGCTAAGCTGCCAGGACTCCCAAAAGGATCCTGAAGCCTTTGGAAAAGTACTACAAGACATTCAAAGACTGGAATGACTCATGGATGTCTGTTCTTCAGTTCTCTGGAAAATACAATTATCTACAATAGATAGGCCAAAAAGTTTGTAAAGGCAAAAAAATCAGGGATTTTTAAAAGTTAACTTTGTACTTACTGTAACCCCTGAGCTTAGCTAGCACCAGGCACACAGCAGACAATAAATATTTGCTAAATGGTACCAAGGAATGAATATTCAGAGTAGTTCAATGAATGAAGATTTCACTGCCTATTTTAAGGCCGCTGGCCTTTTTCCAAAGATTCCTGGTGGCGTAGTGGAGGGAGCTGCTGATCAAAAGGTAAGTAATTCTAATCCACCAGCGACTTTGAGGAAGAAAGATGGGAACTCTTTTCCCCTGAACATTTACAGCCTTGGAAACCTGACGGAGGGTCCCAATGAGTCAGAACTGCCTCGACCCACAGTGTGGTTTTGTTTTGATCCTTTCAAAGAGTTCTGGTGGTATTGTGTGAATGTGATACATGCTGTGTCTTCAACTGAAAGGTCAGAGCTGGAATCCACCACATTCCCAGTGGAGAGAAAGGGGCAGTTTCTTCACATAAAGGGTTATTGTTGTTAGGTGCCATCAAGTATGACTCTATGAACAAAAATAAAAGTACAACTATGAAAAACAAAAGATCTGAATCCTGTTCTATCCTGCACCATCCTCACACGTCCTGACACACAAGAACCCATTTGCAGCAGTCACCATATCAGTCCACCTGGTTGAGGGTCCTCCTCTCCTTTGCCAACCCTCCACTCTTCTCAGCATCATGTCCTTCTCCAAGGAACAGAACCTCCTAGCATCATGCCCAAAGTATGTGAGGCAAAGCCTCATCATTCTTGTCTCCAAAGAGCACTCCGGCTGCACCTTCTCCAAGACATCTGTGCTTTTGGCCATCCATGGGATGTTTAGTGCTCTTCTCCACCACCAAAGTTCAAAGGCGTCAATTCTTTTTCTGTCATTTTTATTCATGGTTCAGCTCTCAGATGCACAGCAAGTGATTAGAAAGATGATAGCCTGAATCAGATGCACCTCAGTCCTCAAGCTGACATCATTATGCCTCAGTAATTTGGAA